AAATTTGTGACCCATCCCAAGAGAAGTGACCAGTGGAATGAGAAAATCATTGAACAACATTATTAATATCACATACAATTAAAATTTTACTGAAAATAACTTAAAATGATTGCAAGAGTACATCAACAGGGAGCTGCCAGAATTCAAGAGAGATTCAGAAGAAGATGTGGAACAAGGCACATCATTACTGACGTCAGATAGATTTTGGCTGAAAGCACAGAAAGATGTGCGCTTGTGCTTTATTGACTCTGGAAAGGCATTTGATTATGTGGATCATGACAAAAATCTGGATAGCACATGAAAATGGGCATTTCAGAATATTTAATTAAGCTCATGAGGAACCTGTACCTAGATCAAGAGGAAGTTGTTTGAACAGAACAAGAGGATACTGAATGGTTTAATGTTGGCCAGAGCTGTAAGTCTGTATCATGGCTCTCTCCCAACAAACCCTGAAGTTTAGATTAGTATCTATAGACATGCTGTTAAGTGCTGTTGAGTCGATTCTGGCCCATAGCGACCCTGTATAAGGGTTTCCAGGGAGCAGATGGTGAGCTTAAGCCACGAAACTTGCAGTTCAAACAACTTTAATGCACTAGCCCACAGTGTCATATAGCATATATAGCAGCAACTGTAAAGTCATCCACAAAACAGATCATCAAATGAGGAATTAATGGTCCTCATAACAGTCCATTCTATTCTTCAGTGATCATCAGGCCAGACAAAGTATCACAGATACTGAAATACTGTTGCTTTATAAACACAAGCTATAGTAGCTGCAGAAGCATAGCCTCGGTCATATACGAGGGTGGCTTTATGTTAGGTATGATCTATACACTATATCAATGCAATTACATGCTTGGAATACATTTTGTAGTGATAAAATCCATATCCTAAATTAGCATAAAAATTTCTTAGTCCACGTGTCAACTTATCTTACTTCTGCCATAATTTTTTAAAATGCTATCTGTATGACCTTGTCCACATTAATGTGCTTTGAAATTATTTAGATTCCACATCTGAACCCATTATACTGTCATTTCTTTGCCCACCTCATATTCTTCCAAGTTTACCAAACAAATGTGTTGTTATGCTGATCTCCTACACAAATACTGGCTCAACTTTATAATCTAGATGCAACATATATTGGTAAACTTAAGTGTTTCATAGAGTTTTCTAATACTTAGGGGTGATATACGGTACTTTTTCTTTTATCTGATATAATGTCGAAATTATGTCTACCTTGACTCATCTATGAGGCACTCACTCCTCTCTGCCAAGAAATTTGGAAGACAACTATCTAAACGACTGATTGGAAGAGATCCATATTTTGCCCATTCCAAAGAGAGTTGACCCAACAGAATGCGGAAATCATCGGACAGTATCTTTGATATCCCCATGCGAGTAAAGTTTCACTAAAAGTAATACAGAAATGGCTACAA